AGGGTGTGGACCCGATTGTGTGGGTCCGCCCCCGGAGCCGGATGGATCCAGATGGATTCCTGAAGGCCCTGGGGGAGTTTCCGGCTGACAAGACTGGTGCTCCTGTCGAGGCTCTGGTCGAACTGTGGAACGGGGAGATGACCAGGGCTGTGGACACAATCGCTCCTAAGCATCCTCTCCCACCGGGCAGAGCCCACTCTTCCCCTTGGTATACACCTGAAGTGCAGTTGATGAAGCAGGTTGGGAGGCGGCTAGAGCGTAGGTGGAGAAGATCACGGGATGAATCTGACCAAACACACTTGAGAGCCCATTATCGGGCCTACGCTGTGGCGGTGAGGGCGGCGAAAAAGAGGTTTTTTCTGTTTCCATTGCCTCCTCAAAATGCCATCCAGTGGAGCTTTTTCGAGTGGTGCAAGGCCTGGTTCGTCCAGGTCCTAAGAAAGACCTGGTTCCACTCTCAAAGGCCCGCTGTGACGACTTTGCCATGCATTTCAGGGAGAAAATCGCTCAGATTCGTCACGAGCTAGACACCACTAGTGAATCAGAGGTTTCTGGGGAGACACCAATGCTGCCGTCTGGTCTAGAATTATTGGATGAATTTCAGTTATTGCGAACTGATGATGTGGACAAGGTGCTTGGACGAGTACGTCCCACCACTTGCCTATTGGACCCTTGCCCGTCTTGGTTAATAAATAATTCCAAGCACGGGATTGGGATCTGGATCTTGGAAGTGGTTAACGCTTCTCTGAGTGAGCGTCGGGTGCCTGCCCCTTTAAAGGAGGCAGTAGTCTGACCAGTCCTGAAGAAAGCATCACTGGATCCAGAGATGGCCACTAATTATAGACCAGTGGCCAACATCCCGTTTCTGGGCAAGGTGTTAGAGCGGCTGGTGGCGGGACAACTCCAAGCTCTCTTGGATGAAACTGATTATCTGGACCCATTTCAGTCCGGCTTCAGACCCGGGTACGGTACTGAATCTGCCTTGGTCGCCCTGTACGATGACCTGTGTAGGGAGAAGGACAGGGGGAGTGCGTCCCTGTTGGTTCTCCTGGACCTCTCAGCAGCTTTTGATACCATCGACCATGGTATCCTTCTGGATAGGCTTGTGGGATTGGGGGTTGGAGGCACTGCTTTGCAGTGGTTCCGCTCCTATCTTAATGGCCGGTTCCAGAAGGTGGTGCTGGAGGACTATGGCTCTGCGCCATGGCAGCTATGCCATGGAGTACCGCAAGGGTCCATTTTGTCCCCTTTGCTGTTTAACATCTACATGAAACCGCTGGGAGAGGTTATCAGGAGGTGTGGGCTGCGGAACCATCAGTACGCTGATGATACCCAGTTCTACCTCTCGTTTTCCACCAATCCAAGTGAGGCAGTGGCTGTACTGAACCGGTGCCTGGCCGAGGTAATGGGCTGGATGAGGGCCAATAAACTGAGGCTCAATCCAGACAAGACGGAGGTCCTGTTGGTTGGCGGATCGGGCTTCGGAGAGGGTGAATTGAACCTAGTCCTGAATGGGGTTGCACTCCCTCTTAGGGACAAGGTCCGCAGCCTGGGAGTGCTCCTCGACCCAGAGCTTTCATTGGAAGCTCAGGTGACAGCAGTGGCGAGGAGCGCTTTCCTTCAGCTTCAGCTGATCCATCAGCTGCACCCCTACCTGGAGTACGACTGTCTGGCGGCAGTGACACACATGCTGGTGACTTCCTGCCTTGACTTCTGTAACGCGCTCTATGTGGGGCTATCCTTGAAGACGGTCCGGATACTTCAATTGGTTCAAAATAGAGCTGCCAGGTTGCTGACGGGGACTGGGCGTTATGTTCACATGACTCCAGTCCTCCGTCAGCTTCACTGGCTTCCCATTGAAGTCCGGGCCAAATTCAAGGTGTTGGTGATGACCTATAAAGCCCTAAACGGCTTGGGTCCTGGTTACCTGAAGGAGCACTTACATCCATATACGCCCACCCACCCCTTGAGATCTGCAGGAGAGGCCCTTCTCTGGGAACCCTCTGTGAAAGAAATTAGGAGGGTAGGTACTCAGAGGAGGGCTTTCTCTGTGGTGGCGCCCAATCTATGGAATGCGCTCCCCAGAGAGGTCCGCCTGGCGCCGTCGTTATTTGTTTTTCGGCGCCAGGCGAAGACCTTTTTATTTAAACGTCATTTTAATTGTTAATATTATTTGCTTATTTTATCCGGCCAGGGCGACTTATTTTATATTGTTAATTTGTTTTAATTTTATGTTGTGAGCCGCCACGAGGCTTCGGCGAATGGGGCGGCATAGAAATGTTTTAAATAAATTAAATAAATAAATAATTACAAGTACAAAGTAAAACAAAACTGTGGCCTTGAGTCAGAGCTTCCGCACAGAAGTTGGAGAACTTCGGCAAATTCACGTTTGACTGATTTGCACACACCGAGCTACCCCAGTTGGTCTTCAGTCTATTCTCCTGCTCCCTTGGATTAAATAACATGATTTTGAAAGTTACCAAAGCGCTCATTTCATGAACCTCAATATATCCAGCAGCAAAGGGAGCACTGCATGATTGCCTGTCAAATGTGCCAGCCTCCCTAACCATGCTCCCCAATTTCCAAGTGGCGACACACAACTCCATGCATGTATGGACAGGGAATTATGCTTCCTGGAGATAAGGTGGCTTGTCTGTCTGTTTTAAGGCAGTGTTTAAAGCGTTTCATGAACACAAAAGACCAAGGAACATCAGAAGTTGGATTGTGCAAGTTTTCCCCCCAACTAGTTCAGTACCATCTACTCCTCTTACTTTTAGTGGCTTTCCTCAGGCAATGTGGACTTTTTATCATCCAAAACTGATTTTTGTGTCTGGCGATACCAAGGACTGACTCATGCTTTGCATGTAAAGCATGAGCTGCACCTTTGAGCTATGTCTCCTCCTCACCTCTATTTGACCTTAGCTTCCTCAATCTCACCGTCCACTTCTCCTGAACCGTGTCCATGCTCATGCTTCTAAAAGATGGAGAACAAGCTGGGGCAGGCATCCCCTGGAAGCATTACTGTCCATGACTCAATGCTAATGTAAACTTGTGAGGTCTCTGTACATGCACTGACATTCCTGTGAGTTTCTGGGACTTTGATGCTAACCAGATGTTTTGAACTACAGCCCTCCACATTCCTCAACACTGGCCATACTGATTTGAAGGGAATTTAGGCCCAAAAGATCTAGAGGGACCCAAGCTGAGGAACGCTTCCCTGGAGAAGAAGCAAAGACAACTCAGCCCCTCTAAAGGCCAGTTCATGGAGTTGGGAAATTGGAAATGTTCTTTATGTCACTAGGCACATGCCTGTGTGTGTCCCACAGTAGGCACATCTTTCAGCATCCACATGTCCCACACTGTATGTACAATGCAATGCATTTGTGAGCCACTATCTTACCACTTATTATAGACCACTTCCAGTTGTACTATTTGGATTGTCTACAATGTCCCTGACTGGAAAGAGCCTTTCACTTAGATTTTCCACTTCCACTCGAATGATTCAACAGGCATGACTGGCTTGCCATTTGTCCAGCTCTATCCTTCCCAAATCCACCTGTTCATCTGCTAAGAGAGCCTCTTCTCTCCTATTCTCCAGCCCATGGCTCCTTCCTACAGACATTTAATGATTAAAATATTCTAAAAGGCGGGAGCAGAACTGACTTCAGACTTTTGAAATATGTGTTATAAGTACTGTTAAGGCAGCTGTAAAGGATTCCTCTTTCAAGGTCATTACATTTTTGCCATCAATCAGAGACATATAGATTGATGATTTTCAGCTTTTGATTAATGATTGTATCATGTGAAATCCAGCTATGGAACCATGACACCAAGATAATGATGTGCAACTCTGGAAGTCGTGTTTTAATCTATTAAAGTATTCATATGCAGTATTGTAAATGTATAACAAAACTATTAGGCAGTTAGAACAGCAGCCACAAACGGCTCTATTATCTGCCTCTTTGTTCCAAGTCTCACTTAATAATTAATAACATATTTAAAATGTTTTAACATCATCAGTTCATTAAGTGGTTCTGTCTCTGAGAAATTCAGAGGAATCTATTCAGGATTCAATCACTATGGCACTTAGGGTATTATTAAACAAAAATTTGCCATTTCTCTTTTCACTCAATTCAGGACTTTTAAGGTCTTTGATAATTTCATCTTTTAGGTCAAGAGGGGCGGTTTCAACAAAATTATTCGTCTCCGTCAAAAAATCAAGCAGCAACTCCCCATCTTTGTTTCCTTCAGTAAAGCAATCAGTGATGTCCATAACTGACGGAAGCTCATAGGACTGGTATTTCAGACCAGCCCCATCAAGTAGCTGTTTGATGTCAGCAGATGAAACATATGCACAACGATCAACCACAGGTAAACGAGGACTTAATTTCTTCCAAAGCTTGGCCCATCCACTGGTTCCTGCCAATTGAATGATATTACGCATGTTCAATTAAAAATAATGATAAGCATCCATATAGATGGCTCTTTACAATGAGCAGGCTGCACAAAGCCTTACTCTCAGGGGCTTTGTGCTGTACAAATAGGCAAAGGTGAACAACAGAAGGAGGAAGGAAAACAGAGGCAAGGTAAAGAGGGTAAACTTTAGTTACAATTGGGTATGGGTGCAGAACAGCTCTCAGCTTCAGGGCTGAACTCTGTTTGAAAGATTTCTATGGGGTGGGACTGGAGGCAAAAGACTGGGGACCAAAGTACCAAGGCATAACTTAGCATGACAGTCTTACCACCTACCAATAATTAAGCTTTAGGAGAATCCAACCATTTAAAAGTGGGGCTGTGCTGATGACATGAAACCCAGAAGCCCACCAAGTGATTGGTAGTGGGAAGGGAGACCATGGCCAGCAAAGAGGCGTGCCCATCAGTGGATTCCTGGAAGGCTGGACTGAGGCCTCGGGTGGGCCACATTTTCCCAATGGACCTGAGGTTCTGCACCCCTGCCCTTGAGTAAGAACCGGGCTGAATCCCAAGAAACCTATTTTAACCAACATTCCACTAAAATAATTTGGTGTACACTGAGTGCAACATACAAAGTTTAAGATGCTCTGTAATTCCAGAGGAATCTGACACATGCCAAGGCTTCTGGTTCTGCATTCTGCATTGGCTGAAAGGTTCATGTTTGGGAGTGATTCAAGGGAGGTAAGGAAATCCCAGGAACAGACAGGAAACCAGTGCAGGCATTTAAGGAAAGACAATGAGTGGTCAGAACAATGAGAAAGATGAGTGGTTTGGGTAGAGCGCTGGATAAGACTGGAGGGCTGGTCAAGGAGGGCCGCAGTAGTGAAATGACTCTGGGCAATGCTTTAGCTATGATAGCCGCTGCCTCAAATCCTGAGACATGTTTTCTCAGGATTTTACAAGGTGCAAACCAGTGGGAAATGACCCATTCAGGAGCACCCCAAAGGGGCACTTCTCTCACAGAGCAGGTCCATACGGTACCTCAAAGAGCCTTCCTCCATTCCTTTCTTTGCCAGCCACACTGCCTGGCGACACTGAAGGGTCACAGCCATTCTTTGCAAGCAACTGGGGGCCAGTGTCCAGCTCCCATTTACCCAGCCACCCTCTCCCCTGCAGATATCCAGGCCACAAGGTACTCCCTCCGGGAGGTAGTTGTTGGGGAACATACAGTGTGGGCCGGGCAGAGGCTCCATTGAAAGGGATGCTGATCCCTTCCTTGATCACCTTTGCAAGTAGCACTGGTTTGTCTACTACTGAAACTGCTCCTCCTCAGTCTAATGTAGGTGATGTGACGAATGCTCAGACTATATGTCTATCAGACGGGCACAACAGTCAGCGACAGTCTGATAGTTCTCCACTGACTTACAGTGAAGATGCACAGATTCAACAAGGACAATCCAAAGCCATCTTTAAAGCACTCACACAGCAGGGGGTGATTTCCATCTTTAAATGCTGCCATAGCGAATGAAGAGGCATGGAGGCATTTCCTTGTTGGACACCCTCCCTGGACAGCACTTTTTATTTGGTACCAGGGAATGGAGAAAGCTTTTGCAAAAAGCACCTATTTTTTTCCTCTCTACACAAGAGCCTTTGATTTCACCAGAGATTTTTGACTTTAGTTTAACTCTCTGCCATCATTTGATTCTTCCTTTAAATCTGCAATCAAATCAGAAGCTGAGATAAGGAGATGTTATTGCAGGATAAGTGATTAAGTAAATAAGCCTTTAGATTTTCCTGCTCTGTTGGATCTGATCATGTGTTTGGGAATAAGACCTCTTACAGGCGCCAGTCATTCATTCCCTTTACTGCAATCCTACACACACTTACCTGGAAGTAGTCCTCCAATAAATACAGAGGGCCTTACTTCAGATAATGCATGCATCGGGCTGCCCTGTATGTCTTAGAATTCCTGTCTTTTGGGGCTCTGCCAGAAGGGAGGGGAGGGGAGGAGTTTGGCAGAGAAGGTGCTGTTTGTCATTCCTCTCCCATGCACTGAAACCAACTAAAGAATTTGCATAGTTACCGGGTCTGATCCTGCAGCTCTTTGGAAGAGTAAGTGCCAGGATATCCCCTGTCCCCACAGGGCTTTCCATAGGCATCTAGGTGGATATTGGGGTGGATGGGACACCCCATTGGTGGTGCTCCTTGCCTGCTGTATCCTAATCTCATCTGAAATATACTGGGGTTTAGGATTGTGCCTTAATTTATAAAACTCAACCTCAAGGTTAACTGTTAAATTCTGAAGACAAAACAATCAAATCATCATTCTATATTATATGATAATTTCCTCAAGTTTCTTGAGATAAATAAAGATGTAGTTTTTGTATGGCTATTAGGAAGTACATAGCAAAACCTTTAAAATACATATAGTACTGTTCTCTGAAAAGTAATTCCCATAATTCTAAGGAAGAGGAAGAAACCAAGAATTTATATAATTACAGACAAGGATGAAGATATGTGTAAGACTCACTCATAAATTCTAAAAACTGGAGCATCTACATATGCCACTGTGTCTAATTTAAGTTACAGTTAAATTACAGAATAAATGCTGATGGATTTTAGCATTTATTCTGGTCTTTTAATAATTTTTGAAGGATTTTATGCATGACTTTATTATTGTTAAGAAATGTTTATTCAGGTGATTGACAAGCAGCATGGAAGTGTTATAAAAAAAAACAATGAGCATTTTGACATCACTCTCCAAATTACTTGTGGCTTAGGGCCCTTAAATCAAGGAACGGGTAATCAGACAGATCTTCTGTATGTTTACCCAAAGGTAAGCCCTGTCTGAATAGTCTCGGTCATAGTCTCGGACTGATTAAACCCTCTTTCATTTCCATAGGATTTAGCCGAGATGTGATTTGCTGAAATTCATGGAAACTTTAAAAGTTCCCATTGCCTGGTGCTGAGATTGAGCTGCAAGAAAATGCAGCTGACTGAGAAACAATTACACTGATTTCAAGCAGGCCAAGGAGAAGCAAGCAACCCAAGACATGACAGATCTTTGGTGTCTCCTCTTCGAAAATGCTGCACGGCACGGCAGCATTCTCAGATAAGGGACATCCATTACATTCTGTGCTTCTGTGAAGTTACAGCATATGGGATGTTTCAAAGAATAAGGAACATTTGGCAACCTTAGGCCAGTCAGATTGCATCCCACAGTGACAAGGGAGCTATCCTTTTAAAATCTACTAAAGGCTGACATAAGGTACATAGATAAGATCCTGCAGAGAAGAAGGAAAATATTAGCAGAAGCAGTGAGAAGTGAAACCAGGCTAATCCATTTATTTGGTACCCTTGGTGGCATGATTCAGCATTTCTGATGTGAATCATTTATAAAAGGCCAAAGCTACCAGCCCCAATGGGTAGGAAAGCAATAAATTCAAGACTAATGAGGGCTTGCTGAGAGGTATGACTGCAAATCCCCATTGCTAATAAAGCCAGTCGCCTGCCTTTTTGGAAAGCAGTCTATCTTTAAACAGTTTCTTACTGAAACGTAAACACTCCAGTGGTCTAGAATCGATGCAGCACAACAAATCTGTGTGCCTCCGTCTCTTTCCACCTGGTGGAAAATGAATGCAGTGTACTAATTGCAAGAAATGTGCTGGTGTCAGTGTTCTGTGACTCTATGCCATTTCTGAACGGAGCAATTATACCTTACCTGTCTGGCACATTATTATAATCACTCCCTGTAGATGCAACATATGGTGCTACTTTTGTTTTTCCAGGACTGTACTGTGAACTGAATGTGTGGGGAGGCTATTATCTTAAAAACAAAACACAATTTCTACATAATTCTTCAGACCTGCCCCAGTCTCATTGACAAGGAGATTGTGGGAAGAGGTCAAACCTTTAGACGGTATCCAAGTTCCTGATCTGTTTTGCGCTTTTTCGCTTCTACAGCCAAGTTCTCATTAAGATCTATGATTCTGCAGGAGGAATTGCATGGAGTATAATCCAGTGAGAACTCCTACCTGGGAACGCTCCACTGAAAAGAACAGTGTTGCAGAAGAGCAACGGGGCAGTCACTTGTGGCATTTTGGTGGATTGTGCACATCACAATTAGGTGTTCCTTAATTGCTTCTCCTGAGTCCTTCCCAGTGCACATGGTCTACTGGTTTCGTTCTCCTTGCTGTCATATCCACTTAACCCTGTGCGTCTTCTGTCCTCACGCCGCTCCTGCCTTATTGCTCATGTTCATCCTCTCCTTCATTATCACTAGCAACTGAGCGGAAAATCTTCCCTGCTGCCTCCTTCATGGTTTCCCCAAACATAGCCGGGCAAGGGGGAAGTGGCGCGCAGGGAACGCAGGCAGCAAGCTGAGGTTTGGATGGTCCTGGGGCTCTGATGGTTACTGGCATCGGTAAGGAATTACTTTTAGGTGCACAGGCAGGTTTGCCACTGAAAATCATAACGTAGGGATCAACACAGTTTAGAGGATCAGCTTTAAAGACAATTCTTGACTATGGCAGTATTAATCATTAGTCAAGAACTGCATTCTTCCTGTTAAACATATAATTAACCCTACAAAAAGAACCCTTGACAGTCAAGAGTCCTAGCATTTAAGCACACAGCCTAAGTTGTGGACTGTTAGTCCATTTTTAAGGTAGTAACACTGCAACCTGTCATTGATGAAGCTGCCCATCCCGCTCATCTCTGCTTTTGTCCTGTGTCTCAGCCTCTGGTTCTTCATTAACAGTGGCGCTTCTGTCTACAGCAAACATCTAAGTATAACTGATGCAAAAATTACTGAAACCTGAAACTGTTTAACTTTGGCTGGTTCTGCCCATAGGATTTTGCACTGGGCACCATACTGTGTGTAATGTATCCAATTTGCTCTGCTCTCTTGCTAATACATGCAAACAGATGCATAAATATTGCCTCCTCTGCCATTCCGTGTTTCAGGTGCCTCAATCACAACTTTCTTATTCAGGTATCAAATATAACCAAGTTGAGATGCGACTTTTACAAGCAACGGCCAGTAAACATGGGGAAATGAGCCGACCAAATAGCACAACACAGCTCTGTCGTACCTATTTGCTGCATGCCTCATGCAGTCTGGGGTTGCAACAGGTGCGAGTCTGGAAAACCTATAGTAGCTTGCTGAATTCATTGAAAGCACATGGGTTCCCTCCATGAATTCAGCTTTTAGACTATGTGCATATTCTGTTTGTGGCATTGAGCTACTGCACATCATGAGCGTCATAAAGCCACTTGATAACTTTGTGAATTCTTCCAATGTTTCTGCGAAGTACCATGTAGTTTAACCCACATCTCTGTGATCCATATCAGTCTACCACAGCTCCAGAACTAGGAACTTGCAGACAAGCTCTAATATTCCACATAACCTGACTCTCAACATGAACACGGGCACTGACATCTGGTGACATCACATTTTCTGGTGATATCAAGTTTGCTGTGAACTCTGACCCCCAGTTTCACAACAAGGGGCAATGTCCCCAGAATAGCAGATGGTGAGTTATACCCTTGTGGGAAAGACTGCCAGCTGCGAACGTGGCTAAACTGTCCAAGAATTTTGTATTTCAGGGTCAGGGCTTCAGACAAGTTACTCATGAATTATTTGACTTGACAAGCACTTTGAGGCTGAAGCAGACAGCATAGTCTAGGGGACATTCAACTTGTGCCCAGTTCAGATCCCAGCCAACAATTACTGTATTGGGTGCTTGTTGTTCAGTTTGCTCTTTATTCCACTCAAGGGCAGCATCCATAATATGGAAATGGACTTTTATCTCTCAAGGGCTTTGATGTGGATCCAGTCCTTGATGCACTGCTATGGGAATACGTGCCATTGAACTCAATAGGTTTTAGTTCAAGTGGACATATATGGGATTGTGCTGGAAGGCTGAATGAAAAATGAGGAGTACTGCACAAGCATTCAGCAGCAGTAACAGCAGTCCTACGAGGAAAAAAACACTACAAGGATGCTAGGACTGAGGTGCAGTTTAATGAAGTCTAACTCTGGATAATGAAATATTCATATTGCTGATGTAGAAGAACTTCCCCATTTATCTAAACATCCATGGTTTGGGAAAGCGCCATCCTTCCCGCTTTTTTTAAAGTCCTGGATTATTGCCTTGTGTCCTCAGCCTTGTAGTGGGGAAAACATTTATTTCTCCTGCTAGGCTGCTCAAGGGAGGACACCAGCTTTCAATAGCATGATCCTATGCATGCTGACTCAGACGTACGTCCAGTGGTGCCTGCTTCCCAGCAAATTGGTTCAGGGTTGCAGTTTGAAAAACAGGTGCTGAGAAATTCGGGGAGAAAGAACGAAACCTTCCCTACATCTGGCTGAAAAAGGTGGCCCTTCCTAGTCTAGCTCTCCATCGTTTTATCCGGTCAAATGATCACAAGGTACTCAGTGCAACAACTTGGCTGAAGCACAGCTGCTCTGAGTTTGAAATAAGGTGCAGTATAAATGTAGTAAATACATACATTTATGAGAGATGTAGAAATGAACAGAAGGTAGGAAATAAAAAGAGAAGTGTCTTGATTAATAAAGTGCCTGTGTATCTTACGGTAGTTTGGCCTAAGGGAGTTTGGGCTACTCTCAAATACGCAATCTTTTTTCCTCATGAAATTTTATTTTATTTTGAAATTGTGTTAACAAAGGCAACAAAAGGAATAAGAATATAAAATAATAAAGAGATCATTAAAGAAACCAAGGATGTCACTAATTATCATTCACAGGGCACAATTCGATGCCTGCTACCCTCAGAGCATGTAAATCTTTGAGCTGAAAACCAAGTTTGCATCCAATGTCTGCACCACGGAGCTGCAGTGGCAATTTCTGTGGCCACTGTGCCTCACCTGCTTTCTATCTAGGTGGCCATTTGTTGTTGGGGAGATAAAGCACTGAGGAAGGGAAGGGAAGGGAAGGGAAGGGAAGGGAAGGGAAGGGAAGGGAAGGGACATTGGTGCTCACCTATCAAGTTATAAACTGTTTAGGGCCATGTATCTGAAGGACCTGTCTGTAATTTCAGAAGCTGTCCTTCACGTCCTACCATTCAGAGAGCTTAAGCTGGTCAGAACGGGGGCCTGTTTGTGGTGGGACCCTGACTGTTCCTCCCTCTGGGCAGTTCAAGTGGCTCCTTCTTTGTTTAGTTTTAGGTGGACCATTTTTGTTCTGTTTGGCATTTGAGTGGTTTTAAATTTAATCCTGCTCTCTGCTTTATTTTTCCCTCTCTTTTATAATTTATTATAATTATTACTACATTTCTTATCTAGTTACTATATTGTAATGACTTTTATATGTTCTCATTCATATATCACCTTGAAAGGTACTTTTGAATTGAAAGGAGACTCATAAGATTTTATATATAAATAAATACAGTTAGATTTAATTTTTAAAACTCATATGATACATACTGTACTGAAGACCGGGGCATGAACAAACAGGTGTTTGTTTTAGACTACTTACTTATTGGGGTTTCTCTTATTCTACTTATTTATTGTAAGCTGTCCTGAGATGTTTGTAGGGGACGGGTTAGAAAAACTTTAAATAAATAAATGGTAAATCAGAAGAATGAGGTGACCCATGATGAAAATAGAAACACATATTTAATTACAAACCCATGCATGTCTGAATTCAGTCTGGAACTGCAAAAAGTGTACTTCATTGTACCTACCTGAAACATGAACAATGAGGAGTTTGGCCCCAGGTTCCAGGAGGCTGTGAAAGAACCTAATGGTAGCTGAGACGTCATCTACATAATACAGCATCTAGAAATAAGGATTCTTGAATGTAAAGTAGATTTTGAAAAGCCCTTCTATGATTGTTCCCATTTTCATTAGGGCAGAAACAAACCTAATATATGCATCTTCCAGTTTGTATTAATCTCTGCTTTCTCTTTATCTGTGTGCACTAAAATGACAGATTTGCATTTTTCCCTCAAAAGTAAGGATTGAACAGGTTCTCTTGTAATAGTAAGAATAATAAGTCCTCAAATCTTTTGGAACATTTATGGCAGATATAGATACTTTCATCATTGCATAGAGCTCATTTCAGAAAAGTTAGGCAAAGAGCAAAGTGTGAGAAGCAGTCACTATCCTTTTTCTTTTTACTTGCTTTTAATTTCCACAGTTTTTAGAGCTCACATGTACTCTTTTTCCTTACAAAATTAACTCTTAGATTTTCATATGAGAGCCAAGGACTCAAAGGACCAAGGAACATTTTGAAACAGGAACAGACTGGACACCATCTGGCATAGATGCTTTTAAACTGGATTCCTGCACTGAGCCTAAATAGCCCCTTCTGTGAGGACAAGTCAGAGAGTTTACACAGACCCTGATAAAACAAATTCTGTGCTGTTTGAGATCAGTCTACCTGCTCTTTGACTACCTCCAAAATGTCTCCCAGAGAAAATTTATTTTGCTCATTGAAATAGTAGCAACAGATTGAGTTTATTCTGCACTCCCAGGGGGTTTTTCCACTGTTAGACGATTGCCTAAGGTGAGATAGAGTCTGAACAGCTGACCCAGGGTAGCCATTTCGTGCCTTCAAATGAAAACTCCCAAGAGAACCTTGTGGGAAGAGGGTTGGATCAAGACTCATTCAGCAGCGTTCTTTCCATGCTTGAGGGAGGTGACACATGGCAAACTGCTCTGATTCCTCCTCTCTTCTCTAGCATCCCAAAAAGCTGCCTGGGGAGGCGAGGGCAAGGGAGGGGGCTCTCTTGGACAGCGAGTGGGATGTGGTGCTGTGGACTACAAGGAGCAGATGGAATTGCCAGAAACGTGGCAGCCAGCCCCTTCCTCCTGCAGGCAGCCTCTGCTGCAGTGCATCCTAGCTTTCCTAGTAAAACAAAGGCAGCCCTTAAGCTTGCATCCAGCCTGTGACAACCTTTGCACTTCACAGCTTTGTGGTCTGTTATTTACACATGAATAACTAGATAGCCAACCAACTGGGAGGCAGCGGTGTACAGAAAAATACTGTAAATATCAGGCTGTACAAAATGCAATGATTTGTTGTAGCTCAGTGTCTTTTAAGTTCCGTATCCTGCAGAAAGGGTAAGCCATGAATGTAATGGCTCAGCAAGAGCTCTGTGACAATGTAGTAGGCAACTTTTTACCTGAATCATGTGAATGAAATTCCACTTCCTCATCTCTTTGCTTGTCTTCATTCGACTTTCAAATTCTGAAGAAGTCTCCTTGTGCCAAGTAAACTTTATGTTCTCGAGGTTTGATGTCTTTGCAGCATTTTCTAAAATATGATCGCTTCACAGTTTATCTCAATTGCAAATATGGAATGCATTTCCATTTCAAATTTTAGAGCAGCTGAGAGCCATATATTTTTTAAAAATATGACATCAATGTCATTGGTAAGGCCAATCTTGAGTTGCTGGCTGCCTCCCTCCACTCCTCACTTGCTTTAATGGAGCAAACCGAGGAGTGAAGGAAGCACTTTTTGTTGCCTGTTATATGACAGGCTCAGAGTCTGTCTCCAGTTCTATCTCTGATGACTCCAATAAGGAGGAACAAAATGTCTACATTTTGTTTTATATATAGAACTTGGATTTTGGGGATACATCTTAGATTTAAGATATGCAGAGGACGGGCAGCAATTCACCAGTGTGATACTAGAAATATCTTCAGGCAACAGTACCACTGTAGGCTACAAAGTATATGTCACAAATAAAATTCATGCCAAGTAAAGCACTACAGAGTCCATTTTGTTTAGTGGGACAAATTGAAGCACTAGATGTAAGAGAACAATGGATCTTGCACTTAGTGACCATTGTCTAGATTATGTCCAAGGTTCCTTCATACTGAATTAAGTTGGATTTTGACCCACCAGAATCCAAAGAAAGCCCAAACACTGCCTATCACATAATGCCACTGTGCCCAATTTCAACTCCTCATAAAATCAGGTCTTGTTTCAGTGCAGCTTTGAAGTTTGGCATTGAACACTGAATGACACCAAGATGATTGCAATGCTTTCCTGATTTCCAGTGCATTTCTGGTAGCCCAGAAAGCACCCAGAAAGAGAGAAAAGCAGGTCCTTGCAGCACGGCTAACTTAATCCCATTTCAACTCTGCCTTCACTGTTTTGGGCACATTGAGTTGGCATACAGTCCTGACCTTTGTATGCACAAAGAATTCAGAACGCTGTGCTTTCTTATGGGCCCACAAATCAAAGTGCTACTTTTTCAGGACTCCGGTTATGATACATCCTGGAGAAATAACTGAAAAATATTCTGCCTCTGCTTATCTCCCTTTCTTTGCATTCCCTATTGGACACAGGCTACCACTTTTGAATGCAGCAGCCGCTACCCGGTCTCCTTCCATTTATCAGTCTCTAGCCTCTATGACCACAGTTCAAATCTAATTTGCTATTTTAAACTCAGACATCATTGAGCAGCAATCCATATCAGCACTGAAAATAATCTGGCTCAGTCTGCTCCTATTTAATCACTAGACAGTCTGTGAGGAGACATCGGGAAAACGAAGAGCAGGAAAAGAAAGCTAATGCCTGCCAATGTGGCTTCTCTCTGTCAAAAATCAGAACTGGGCCAACCAGCAAAGAAGTTTTGAAAGCCCACAAGGCAGTATAGTCCTGTTCCACTTAATATGTAACTATTTTCTGAAGTGGAAATATGTGTAATTCGCCAATCGTACAGCCAAGCATGGTTTCCCATTCCAAAGATACATACAAAGTAGGCACATGTGCTTTCACTGGAACTGGCACCATACATGGTGTGTGCACGTTTATATATCCATGTAGGAAAATCGGTTTTGATGGAGTAGTCTTCAGTTTCAGGCTGAGTTCAAGCTGCCTTGTTAAATAGCTGCAGTCTCCTCTCTCTTTCATTTCTACAACTATTTCACTTTTTTACTGCTTTCACTGCCACTTCGGAAGGGATTGAAACATCCTCTGTGTTAGTGCCATGCGGAGAATCACAAAATAGGAATTCCCTTGCAATGGAATTGCAGCAAATGAATGATCCCTAGAAACATTATGCCAACTATTTCTTTACGGGATGACAAGCGTAGCACTGATAGAACAAGAAAAGAGGAAATGATCTGACAAATTATCTTGCACTTTTCAAAGTGGGTTCTTAAAAGCACTACAAACTGCAAGAAAACATAAGCCACCGTGTTAACTATACCTTTGTATTTCATGATTTGCTCAGAGTTTGGTTCTATCACATCATTATGAATAATAATGCCAGGATATTTATCTTGTAGCTTTGTGAGAATCTGGAGGTCAATTTCTCCTAGGGAACAAATAAGAAATAGAAAGCTGACAATATTGTAAAACATCTACATGTCTCATTTAGTTTACAATATGTTAGGCATCCTTTCCCCTATCAGGTGACCAAGCAGTAGCTGAAAGGGAATGTTGCATAACAATCCCATCACACCATTGATTGGTGCCTTACCCATGTCACGGTGCCAGCTGTCATGGCTCACAAATGGCAGCCTATTATCACAAACCAAGCTACAATGCATGCTTCAGTATGTGAAGCATGTGGGAGGGGCATCTAATTACAGTCCAGCACAACCAGCTATGGAATATGTTCAATAATCAAAGACAGTGGGTGAAGAAACATTTCCTTCCACAATGCAAGACCAATGGAAAGATGTATCTCCCAGTCACAACCTATGCATTGCATGTCACCAAAAACCACACCGAGTACCTTTATCCAGAGGTAAGTCTGCCATGCACATGCAGAGAGCTGTGCTAACTCAGCTCAAAAGAGGTAAAATTAGTTGCTGTCGGACAAAGTACTGAGCTGGGGAAGGAGTCTGTGTGGAAGTGGGTAAAGGGTACTGTGAGAAGCGGCTGGGCTTTTTCCACTTGTGCTAGGTAACTGTACTGCCCTTTTTGCTAAAATTCACATAAGCCTCTCTGCCAAGTTCAGATATCACAAGCCAGTGTGAAAAGCCAGTGGCACAGAAATGTTCTAATAAAATAAATTAAAAAAAACAGGCCATCCTGAGCAGCCAACAAGATAGGAGTTCTCATGCCGGCCTGTGCATGGGTTCAGATGAAATGAAAACCACTCAGGGAAAAGCAAGGGTGACAATCAACCGGGTCGCTTCATGGCATCTGGTCAGTAGGGGTTTGGGGATCACATGGGGTACTGTATCCTGATGTGAACTGGTATGCATATGTAGTCCAGCAAGGAATTGCATCGAGAAAACTTAAGACTCCTTCATTTCCTTTGGAAGTTATGCTACTGAAGATCTAGAGTCAGCAAGCAACATCAACATCTTAGCGTACTTCTTGACAGTTGGCACCTAGAACGAACGCTTGAAAGACCTGCACAGAGATTTCATCTTTTACTCATTAATAGTATTTTATTTTATCATTTTTTGTAGGAAAACATAGGAGAGTTACCAATGAAAGAGGATGTTTTGTAGGATTCCATGAACAAGACAGGGCCATAGCACAAGGAAAGCCTCATGTGGAAGCCCCCTTCATCAAACAATCAGTTCATCAGCAAAAAGAAAGCTAACAAATGAGTTAGCATGTGCATGTTAGCAGTGCTCCCAGTGGTGGGATGCATGGTTTTGTTATATTATAGCATGCTTTTAATCATATGTTTTTCCTATATTCTTTTTTGCAAACATTTAAAGTTTTATTTAAAAAAAGAAAAGTTAAATTGCACCCACCTCTACTGGAACCTCCATATGGATTTCTATAAACTTTACTTAGCCTTCAAAAGGCATTTGCATACCTGTTACAATCATTCATGAGTAACTCCACAGTATACTTTAAATTCATGGCTGGCATCCCAACACAAATCACAGAGCTTGCCTTCAAGGGCACCGTTTAGTACTATCACCAGCCACTGTCTGTGCATAGAAATGCACGTGTTATTTACTGCCAGGCAAGGTGGCATGAGTGGAAGGTCTCTAGAGTGGACCACCTCTGGAAGTGCTGGCTCCAGGCGTGTGAGGGCCCTGGGGTAAGAGCCCTCCAGTGAGTCCAGTTGCTCACCATGAGCACAACATAGTCTTGCTCTGCATCACCTTTTCTATCCCTGCTACCCTTTGTTTGCCAGTAGGCGATGCAGCAGTGGGAGGTCCTGCTCCCGTTTCCTTCTCACCATCATGATTCCTGGGCCAACGTTGAGGAGTAGGTGAATGAGCAGCCTGGCATGGTAAAGAGGAGGCCCAGTCTGAGGGGCCTCTGACGTGGGGTGGGCCTTCAGCAGGTGCCCAGTTATACCTACCCTCAAGGCTGGCCTTTACCCACAGCTTCCTTAAATGTTATGGAAACTACAAAGGGATGGGCATTTCAAAAAAGGCCATCATACTTTGCACAGAAGGCTTAACTACCCCCCAACATACACACACACTTTTCCTAGCTGAAATTGCTCCTCTCCTAAAGCTGCTATTCAGCCTGAACCCTCCCTTGGTGTTTGGGTTGCATCCAACATTGCTCACTCAGATGTGTGCAGGAAGACGCCACCCCTCTGATCCGAGGGTGAATGAATGGCTGGCTAAGCATCACTGCCTTGACTGGCAACCAAGTTGTGTGATGCAAGGAATCAGCTGGAACAGGGTTGCCCAGTCTAAGAACCAGCAAGTACTGTAAACACATGCAAGGCCTGGTACATACTGGGCATCACAAGGGCGAAGCCCTTGTGCTAACTAGATCTGAGAAAGTTAGATCAATGAATATCTCAGTATATGAAGCCTTGCACATTATCCCTGTGCCATTTATTTTTACTGTAAGACATTTCATTCCCACTTCTCCAAGGTGCCCAAGGACAACTCACATTCAAAAGTAAGCAAGCATTTAAAAAAACCATTTGGAACAATGACAAAGAAAACAGTAGATTGCATCCAGGAGCTTTCATCTGTAGAAAGAAGGGCTTCGCACACAAGAGAAGCCACTGCACAGTTTTTTGGTGATTCACTACCTTTCCCCTTTATCACAGCTCACTGAATTTAGCAGGGTTCGCAGACTTCTGTGTAGCGTTTTCAGAGAGCTGGAGGCACTGCTACAAGGAAGAGGACAAACGGATATCTACTTCTTACGCCTCAGTAGTGCACACACAGCTCTGGACTCACACTAATAAAAACAGCAGCATCAAGCAACATAAATGGGTGGTAGCAGACGTACCAACTACTAATAGCCATTCCCAAAGACCAAAAAATTTGCATAACCCATGAAGCAAACTGGTGGCATAATGCCTAGATATCATGGGCTGCCGTGGGGGCGGGGGGACTAAACTAAGAGCCCCATCCATTTATCAGGAAGTGCTGTGGTGTTATTTATGCAGGGTGAATTTGACAGTGTTGGGGCACCTGCTACTGCAGCTTCTAAAAGCAAGTGCAGTCCCTCTCCTGGGCTTATTTTATTTTATTTAATAATTTATTTTATGAAATTTGTATGCCATCCAATTACCAACGTCTCTGGATGGCTAACAGCATAAATAAATTGACAATCCACTCTGGATGCAAATTAATAAAATACAGTAATAAAATTTGATATTAAAACATATTAAAATATTAAGTAAAAAGGTCTTAACCTGGCGCCGAAAAACATATAGTGACGGCGCCAGGTGGACCTCTCTGGGGAGTGCATTCCAAAGACTGGGTACCACCACAGAGAAGGCCCTCCTCTGGATACTCTGTCTCCTAACATCTTTCACAAAGGGTTCCCGGAGGAGGGCTTCTGTTGCCGATCTCAGGGGGAGGGAGGGCAAATAGGGAAAAGGCGTTCCTTAAGGTATCCTGGTCCCAATTTCCCCAAAAGTAAGCACCAGTGGAGTTACTGTGGTTTACTTCTGAGTAGGCATCAATTGGGCCTTTCAGAGGATCGGAGCGTGGAAATGGCATGGCGTTTATTCTCTCCAAAGGTTGGAGAGTAAGTCAATGAGAGAGAAAGCAAGAGCATGAGAGAGAGAGAAAGAGAGAGAGAGGGGGGGAAGCTGAAGGGGGGTGACAAGAGAGCCAGGAGAGCTGCTGAAGGCTGATCAGGTGCTTCTCCTTAGCTTTCCTGCTGTTTTGTCAAAGCCCAAAAGTACCACTCGGGCAGCACCAGATCCCCCCTCCCCCAGCTCACTCAAGCCCCCCAGAATAGCTGCACAGGCTGCGCGCTTTGGGGGAAAGCAGCATATCAAAAAGTTGTGTTGTAGCTGGCCTGAAGAAATCTGGTATTTAAAGACAGACATGGCACGAGAAAGATCCTTTGCAGTGGACACGAAGTGACACACCAGGCGCGGCAGGGCCAGTAGCTGTACTTAGTCTAGGTTGCTGCTCTGCCACAAGGCAAGAAGAGTGGCATTTGGATGGGAAGGGAAGTCAGAAGGTGGTTGTATTGCAGCAACAGAAGTGGGCTTTTGTGAATTGGCTGCAGATTCATTATATCTCCTTTCACCGTCAGTTGCATCTCAGAAGTTAAGATCAAAGCACTACACAAGGTGTTTCCTTTCCGTCTTGTCCTTTGTATAAGCTCTAGGAGGCCCTGCAGCGTAGCAAAACAGTCTGGCACACATGTCAAAAAGAAATCTTGCAGTGTTACAATCAAATTGAAAGAAAACTCACCCCCAAGAAGACAAGAAGTGAAAGGGAAGGGTCACTACACTATCCAAAGATCCCGTGCACAACTGTGACTAGACGGAATGATGTACATAAGATACAAGCCTTATGAAGAAAGGCCCGTTCTCACCAATAGTTAAACGGGGTTGGCAGCACAACATTAGGCTGTTGCCTGAGTCAAGGAACCATGGAGTAATTTACCTTCCTCCCCACCACCCACCAAAAAAACCAAAGCCTTAGTTCTGCAATCAGGCAATGAGTCCATTCCTGGATTCACACAGAAGCACTCCTCCGGGACCCATTTTTCACTGTGTTCCAGCCACAGTCTAGAACAGCAGTGGGCAGACTTCTGGCTTGTATGATCTACTTTGGTTTGGCTGTGGCAGAGTCTGCCGATTTCCCTAGAACCCTGAGGTCGCCCAGCTGAACTCAGGTGCAAATTATTTGCTCGAGCAGAACCCATGCTGCAAATCAAGGAGAAAAATGCTCTGAGGGCAGGCATAGCATGGCATTTATGACCAACCCTTTTGGTCCACAGATCTGTTCCTGGTTTATTTATTTTATTTTTATTTATTTAGAAAATTTCTATGCCGCCCCATTCGCCGAAGCCTCGGGGCGGCTCACAAAACATTAAAATATAATATATTAAAAATATAAAATGAATTTACAATATAAATTTCACCCAAAGCATTCAGTTGTGGCTGCCAAACTGTGTCTGATGCAGGGGATCTTTCGTTTTGCTGTTGTTAGACAACTGGGAGTTACGAAATCCACTGCACTCCTCCCTGATCTAGGTGATCAAATTGAAACAGACTCTCCACAAGTAAGGATGGCAGATGGAGTGAAGCACAAGACTAGGAAGATTCAGGGAAGGTTCTGCCAAATAACTGCCAGGAGAACATCCGTTATTGGGCAGCTTAAGAGTAAACCAGGTCTTGAGGAGAAATGGGCGATTTTCCAGAAAATATGTGTTTGACAAGGAAAAGGATATCAGCATGAGACACTTCTCAGAAGATGCTTTGGACTTGGACAGACCTGTCACCAGGGCTTTTTTTTTGTCATAGAACACACCGGAACAGTGTTCCGGCACCTTTTTCTGGCGGATTTTTCCAAGTGATTGTGAATCGCCCTGTTGGGCATAGCAGATTGGCAGCAAAAATCATTAACATAGTACCTGCGGGCTGCTTGTGTGTCGGCACTGATTGTCGGCGCTGATTGTGAGGGTGCTGCTCGGCTTGGGATTGGTCGTGTGGTCGCACGCTGAGTGCTTACTGCCAGCGGCAACCATTGTGTAAAAGTGTGACCCCAAGACGTGAGTTCCGGCACCTTTTTTTTTTTTTTTACAAAAAAAGCACTGCCTGTTACTGTACAAAACACACTTACCCCTTGACTTCTTTAAAGAAAGCAGCTGCATGTACCTCACAGTATCTCAGATGTGTCCAGCACAAAGACTGGGACACGGCTTGGAAATATTTCGAAAGAAGCCTCTGAAATCGGCATACATGTTTCCATTATACTGGATTTAATATGCTCAGGTGTGTCTACACAAGTGTAAAACAGGTTGTTGGAGGGGAGAGAGTTAAAAGCTTTAAAATGCAAAAGTCAGGAGCTTGATATGAATGCAACGCCTGACAAGGACGGAGCCTGTACTGAGGCTCCTTTCAAGGCATCACTGTGCTGGCACTTTTTCACACGAAATTGCTGTTCTGGGGCTACACATTAAAGAATACAATGCATGGCCCCCTGTGTTTATAAGGCAATTGGGTGTCACACCCCAACATATACTGTTGAATTGGAAAAGAAGTAAATGGCATTTGAAAGCTCACGTGTGATTTATCATTTGTATTTCTAGTGCAAACATATGCTGCAGCCATAATGCTGCAATCGTGGGGCAAGGACTGCCTGGGGAGGGCCTGTGCAGAGGTTTAGCTCTGAATATTAGCTGCTCCCCATCCCCTGCAAATGAATGGCTGATTACCCATCCCGCCCCTAAAGGAGAGGAAACAGAGGACAATCAAGGATCTCCTGCCCAGAATCACTTACCCCTATCTAAGGTCAGAAGTGAAAGTGGAGGGAAATGTTGCAAAACAGGCACTAAAGCTTTGAACCTCCTCCTTCTAGTAAATGTTATAATACTTGTCCTTGAGGGCAACGCACATAACTCAGCGGTACATCAAAATGGCGTGGGGGAGGCAGGAAAAAGCCATAGTCGAAGTGGCCTGGAAATGGAAAATTGAAGGAGAAATATAGTCCCGAGAACAAGTTGGGGGATATGTCATGTTTTCTGTGAGTCAGGGACTGCGATGCTGATTTTAAAAAGTGCTCCAGTATAGATTGTCCTTTGACAAATACAGAATCAGAGCCCAAGAAGTCCCCAGAATACAGGGAAGAGGGTATCGTCACAGTCACAAGGGAGAAAGGTTTGTTCAGCACAGAAGACTGGGAATCTGGAGACAAGGCAGCAAAGGGAGATAACAATGGTCTTTAAGAAAAGTGACCATAATATGGACTGAAAAAGTAAATGTAAGCATGGCATATCAAGAACTGAGCAACCATTTGTCCTGGAAAAGATAATCCAATTAACATTTATTTGGGTTTACACAGCATAAAGATGAGTATATACTTTCAAGAATGGAAATTGAATTTCAGATGCAGGATAAACAGCTTTTGTTTTGCTCTATTTACAAAGATGTTTTCATCTTCAGATTTCAGAACACAATGGTTTAACTTTTGGAACTGAGCTACAGACAAATCTGGGGATGTGAAATTGGTAATTAAACATTGAATAAATGTCATCATTTGTTCATAAGTTCAGTAGAAATAATATTCTCTCCATAAAAAAATAAAAGCTGATTCTCATATCAATCCCTCCTTAAAAGATTCTTATATTTGCATACACTGAGTTGGGGAACATATTCCCCCCATTCACAAGTAACCAGCTGACCACCCTTGTATAATTTTTAAACCCTTCACCCAAACCGCTCTGATTTGTAGCTTAATCTACAGCCTTAATTGAGTTCACTTAGTTGTTTGCATGCAAACAAGTGCTTTGGGGCATCTTAGAACTCAATATATGGCAGCCTGCATTATCCACAACTTTCAATTTAAACTATAGGAATTATTTAAGTTCTCTGATACAATTACCTTAAAAAGACTATCACTATGTTCACCATTAAGTTTCCAATTAAACCTTTCAAGGAAATGGATTGCTTATAGCACATTTGCTGTTTTATAGCACAGTAAATGCCTTTGTTATTGTGGGGGCGAGTCAACAACATTAATAAGACACAAAGCAATTTATGGACTCACATTATAGACTAGGAAACGTGTTCACTAGTTTCACTATTAGTTAAAGTCACCTACAGGCAGACCTTCCATAAAAGAGAATAATCGTCTCTAACTCAAAGAATTAAAAACATGTCTTCATACTTTTTCTTACCTGCTCCACCACCAACACTTAGAACATTGATGGAAGATTTTTCATGGCCAACACTAAGAAAAAAAAAAAATTTTTTTAAATAGTCAGGAGGTTGAAAAGATACTCAAGAAGTATCATGGCAGCCCTATCCAGAAACTTGTCTGCCATTTCCGGATGTTCTGTCTCACTCCGGGATGACCAATAAACAGAACCCAGTAAGCGCTTATGCAGATGAAGAGGTGGAGCTATGCAAATAGCAGATGTCACTCTCAGTGCCTTGGATCAGAGGATAAAGCCCACACCCAATTGAGTTCCAAAGCGCAATCTTTTTTTTTTCCTCTCATGACATCATCACTGTTCACTCCTATAGGGCACCATAGAGCAGCATGCACTGATAAACGGTTCAGGCAAGGGATTATATCTAACACAGCACTAGTGGAAAGATTGTAAGAGCTGGCATCACTAGTGCTTATGCAACAGATAGCATTTTGCTCTAAGAGGAAGTATAGCACTAGATACAACCCCAGGTTTCCCAGGCCAACATGCTGTCAATGGATTTCTGTCATTTTTTCCATGTTGGCCCATTAATAAGCTACATTTTTTTTAATAGAAAGGGGAAGAAATTTAGCCCAGGTCTACTAAACAGGTTTTCTGAATATGACAAAGCCAATGGAAAAACAACTGCATTGCTACCAAATCACTCTCCATGAATCCTAAGCAGTGATAAATTGTGATTTCTCCTTTGTGACTATTTTATTTATTAAAACATTTCTATGCCGCCCCATTCGCCGAAGCCTCGGAGCGGCTCACAACATGAAGTAAAATACAAAAATATCAATATAAAAATAACAATATAAAATAAGTAACAATATAAAATAAGTCGCCCTGGCCAGATAAAATAAGCAAATACTGTTAACAATTAAAATGACGCTTAAATAAAAAGGTCTTGGCCTGGCCCCGAAAAACAAATAACGACGGCGCCAGGCGGACCTCTCTGGGGAGCGCATTCCATAGATTGGGCGCCACCGCAGAGAAAGCCCTCCTCCGAGTACCTACCCTCCTAATTTCTTTCATGGAGGGTTCCCGGAGAAGGGCCTCTCCCGCAGATCTCAAGGGGCAGGCGGGCGTATATGGATGTAAGCGCTCCTTCAGGTAACCAGGACCCAAGCTGTTTAGGGCTTTATAGGTCATCACCAACACCTTGAATTGGGCCCGGACTTCAATGGGAAGCCAGTGAAGCTGACAGAGAACTGGAGTCATGTGAGCATAATGTCCAGTTCCCGTCAGCAGCCTGGCAGCTCTATTTTGAACCAATTGAAGTATCCGGACCGTCTTCAAGGGTAGCCCCACGTAGAGCGCGTTACAGAAGTCAAGACGGGAAGTCACCAGCGTGTGTGTCACTGCCGCCAGGCAGTCGTACTCCAGGTAGGGGCGCAGCTGATGAATCAGCCGAAGCTGAAGGAAAGCGCTCCTCGCCACTATATGTGAATGTATGGAAATATTTATTCCTCTTGGACTATATTTACATATGAAGTAACAAGGTATCTGCCTTCTGCTAGGCAGACTCTGTCCCCTAGAGAAGCTGGAATAGCTGAAATAAAGCATTGCCAAATATTTGGAGGAAAAGTCGTGGGGCAAAGGAGGAAGAGGAATGAAAGAGCAGGCTGAAATTCTCCAGCAGGTTTTGCAAAGCCAGCTCTGTTGCATCACATGGACACACACACAACACATACAGTGTATCAAAGGCCTGTCCTTATAAGAAGCCCATGCTTTTACCTTGATATTATGCCCGGCAGCTTCTTCTGAATGAATTCCTGCATGCACTGATGCTCTGTTGATTTCTTGAGAAACACATTAAAAGATGCAGCATAGTGGCTGTGGTCGTACGACAAGCTTCTCATGGTCATGGCTGGTTCTCAACCCACTTAAAAAAACACAGTGCAAGAAACACAGTTATTTGGCTCTAATATAGGTGAGGCAGGTGGCAAAGAAAAGCAAAGGGAAAGATACAGAGCAGCCTCAGTGGTTCTCCCATGTCACAGAGAGCCGCTTAGAAAAGTATAGCTACAAAGCTGTTCTCAATATGCTAGAAAGTATAAAGGGAAAGCGCTTGCTAAAGCAGCATTTCAGCATTTTTATCCAACTTTGAACTGAGATCTTGACTGCTGCAAATATCTGCTTCTTTTCAGCCAACCCAGAGCTTTAGAGCATGGTTCCTTTGTAAACATGGGGATGGCTTACATTTCAGTGATAAGCTGAGTGATTATTTCCATCAGGAATAATTTCACTGACTAGATTCACTGAAACTCCAAGGTGACATCAGGGTGCATGTCTTGCTTTTGACCCAGCTAGAATTATGCTCTATTTTAAATTTATTCTGCTCACTTTGGGAACTGGAGGAAAATCACTTCCCTTAAACAAAATTAGGTCTTTCTCTCCCTTTATAGGCACTGGTACAGATGCTACATATTTCTGAGAAAGTATTTCCTCCAAATTTTAATGAAGTTCATGCATGTTGGGTGTTTGGTATGATTTTAACCTGCAGCAAACCAGTAGCTGCTTGATTAATTCAAATTCATATGGGAATCCACATCTTGCCCTGCCTCCCGAGCCTTGTGGCGTTCTCCAGTGCTGCGGTCCTTCTTATGTCCACCTGCATCCTGCTACAATGTGCAGCTCATTTTCTCTCTGAAATGCTCCCAGTTCACTTTCCAATCGTCTTCCCTGCATCACTTCCATGCCTCTAACATCTCACAATGCTCTTCCTCTTTCCTTGTTGTTCCATATTTCTGCATTTTAGACATACCCCGTTGACTGTTCATTTGGCCAGCTACACACATCATTTCTTGGACTTCCCAGACCTGTTCACTTTTTCTTCTGCTTTCAGCAGAAAGAACAGATCTATTCATTATGTACCTCTAGGCCCTAGGGCAGATTATTCCTCCTGGGCCCTCTCTTCACACAGGTTTTCAGTTGTCAAATTTCCTGTTTTCCAAAGACCTCTGTGTTAGAGAGAGTGTTATGCTAATAGGAGGCTTTTATGCAAATTCAATAAAGAAATAAACAAACTTTCATTTAAGCCCCCTTTCCCCTGAAAAACCTTCAATTTAATATTCTTTCACACAGAGAAGTTCAGATTTCAATGAATACAACATTCAGTAACATTATAATAGCACATACAATGGCTAAGACAGGTTCAAAAGCATTTCCTATAATTAATTGACTAATTAATCAAGGATATTCTATAGGATAAGGCTATCCTGTAGGCAATTTTAAGCAGAGCATTCAAAAGGCTACATGAACCAAAAATTGCTTTCATGATTACTGGCAAGAAATTTGATCTGGAGAAAAAGGAATGTTGAAAAGAGCTTCTGGAATAAAGAGAGTGTTGTGGAACAAAACTAACTTGTGCCATAAGGTCAGTGTCCAGTGGGATCAAAACCACATAGAGTAAGTTCAGAAATGCATACAGAGCCGTAGAAGTAAGATAGAATCAAATATGAATTATTTTCGTTTCTCTCACTGAGGAAGATACATGACCCAGCTGGGCTTTTCTGATGTTTTCAGGGGGAGTGCTGAGGAAGAGAGGAAAATTCTAGTGACTACAGTTGAGATTCTCAACCATACTGACAAATTCAACATTGATACTGACAAATACTGACAAATTCCACTGGGCCCAAAAGTGAATTGCTGATCTTCTAATAAAATATGCAACAGGTCCCTAAGATCAACTTCTACATCAGAAGCATTGGGAATGGCCAATGGAACACCATTCTTTAAAAAGGGGTCCATGAGAGATCTGGAAAATGCCAGGTTGGGCAGCTAAGCAACTTTTCCAAATAAACCACTTGAAAGAATTCTTAAAGATAGAATTAGTGGGCAAGTAGAAGGATAAGCCCTGAAAAGAAAGAATCAACATGGCTTCTATAAAGGTAACTCCTGTCTTACCAATCTTTTAGAGTTCTTTGCAAGTGTCAAAAATATTGGAACTGGGGTAATCCAGTAGAGGGAATTTGCCTGGACTTTCAAAAAGCTTTTGTGGAAGTACCACTACAAAGGCATCTTGGCAATTTTATACTCAGTATAAGAAGAGAGGTCCTCTTATAGAGCAGTAAGAGATTATAGAATAGAAAACAAAGAGTAGGAATAAATGGTCAATACTCCCAGTGAAAGTGTATAAATAATGAGGCTCCCAAGAGAACTGTATAGAGAACAGTCCTTTTAAAGTTATTCATTAGGAGTGAGAAGTGAAAAAGCAAAACATGATTGTGAGGAGCTCCAAAGAGTTCTTTCCAAATTAAAAGTTTGTTTGTTTGATATTAGGATATTTTTATCCCATCCAATACGGTGCATCTCTGGATGGCTTATCAAAGGGCAAGTGGGGTAAATGTAAGCAAGTGCATTTTGGGGCAAAAAGTCCCAGCTTCAGGTATCTGAGCTAGGAAAGAAATCTTGGGGTAACAGTGAACAGCTTGAGGAAAATGTTAACTTAGAGTACAATTGCTGTGAAAAAAGGCAACAATTTGGAACTAAATTGAAAATAAAATGCCAAATATTGGTATTACTTTTATAAAATCCCTATGGACATTTATTTTATGAGACATTTAAAGAATTGAAGGCACAATCCTATGCCTGGCCAGACAGGGAAAAAAGTCCTACAATTCCCAGAATTTCCCAAACACCATGGCTGCCTACCATAGGATTGTGCCTTTGAGAAATCATTGGTGGGTCCCAAGTTGTGTAAACCTATATTTAGGTACTCATACGTGGAAGAAATAAATGAAAGAAATGCAGCAGCAAACAAAAGAGTGGTGTGAAGTGGTTCACATTTGCACTGGCACTTCAAAATCTTCCAGGGATAAGTCTGCATTAATTCTCTGAAAAACAGAAGAATCTTTGGGAGACCAAGAGTGCTGACAATCTCCAGCTGTGCACAGACAGACCACTGCAGTAACAGGAATAAACTGGGATTAGAATTTATAGTGCATCACCTTGAACTAGCAATGGTGCTGCTAAACATGTTTGCACATTTCCTTGCTTAGCAGCCTCTTCTGTCTATATAATTTATAGATTCAAATTAGGAAGAGTCAAACCATTTGGCAAACCATTTGACATTTTCTGGCTATTAATGAACAGGAAAGAGATTCAGGTCCTCCCCCTCCCCCCTGCCATTTCAAATAGTGTAATACTAAATCTCTATTTTTATCTACCCTTACTTTTGCAATCTTGTGCCCTCTTATTATGGAGCAAGCCCCACAGAGCTCATTGGAACTTACTTTGACGCGAGCATGCAGCAGAACTAACAATACAACAATATACTGTGGATAAAGTCTGTTTGCAAAGTAAACTCCACTCCAGGAACTTTTGATTAATTGCAATGGGATAATCCCCCACACACTTTTAGGATAATTTATTGTTGAGTTAAAGTAACAAATGACAGAGGCTATCAGCTTTTCTTTTCAAAGAAAAGTTTCTTAAGTTCAGTACTCACATGTAAAATCCGCAAGGAACTGTGAGTTTCCGTCTGCAGGACTGCAGCAAATGGATTCAGCAGAATTTCAGGAAATGAATTCTTTATCAGTCAAACACTGAGTCTCTCTCCACCCACACTGTCAGAGTTTTGGCAAAGAAATCATTTCTGCACCGGAAGCGAAAGAAGCAAGAGCAATGTCTGACAGTTCAGTTAATGAAACTGAAGACTCAGTGGTATATTCTGACTTCTTTTTCACTGGGGTACGTCTGAAATTTTTCCATTGTATGTTACTACATGGGGGGAAATCAGTTATGGGAATTTAATTCTTTGATAGAAAAATCAGTTATGGGAACTTAATTTTTGAAATAGAAAATGCTTGCATAACAGAATGTGATTTTCCCCTTTTAAAAATAATTTGCCCAGGCAGAAATTTTTGAGCACATTGGAGTGTTTAAGCAGTTATAAGAGTGAAAATGAGGTCTTGACTTTGCTCCAGTGGACAAACGAACGTAACTAGAACTGACATAATGCAATCTGCAAAAGCACTATATTAAACTATGTTTTGAAACCTAGGCAGCAATAAAGCTAATTGTTAAACTTGTTAAACGAATAAAAATATTCCACAGGGGAAGTCTTAAGGTATGAGTGGTTGACAAAGGACAAAAAATCCAAAGATATCACATGAAGCAGTAAACTGTGAAACATGCAATGACTGAAGACAAGTACATTTGTACCTTTGGACTACATAGATTGCATGTAAAGATTACACCGCATGAAGTAAACAACAGTTCAACTCTTGCTGAAGCCTATTAGAACACTGTATTACAGCATTGCATGGAATACTAATAGCGCACAAAGTTATCGAAGGCTAAACTAGCAGCAGTTGGAATTGGTGGTTAGCAGCACTAAAATTCCCACTGATCTGAACTAGTGACACATAAATCGCAACATTTCCAGCTACATAGTAATGTAGTCCAAACATTTATGAAAAGGTGGGGCAAAGGAAAAAGAAGGTTTAACTACTGAGGAAGTGTTTAACTATCAAGCTATCAAACAAGGGAAAAGGGAAGAAGAGAAATGAATGAAATTCATCTCCTAGGCCATAGTCACTTTTTTCATTCATGGATCCATCTAAACTTTCCTGCTTTCCAACTGGCCTTTTTCTGATTTTCCAGTTGTTTGCTGGAAATTTGGCTCTGCACTGATGAAAAATATACCAACTAGATTTTCATGACATGACCACACTGATTTTCATGGGTTGCTGCCTACACTGAGTTATCCTGACATAAGAAGCCAGACCAATTCCCCCTGGGTGGCTTGTTCCAGCTAACAAGCCACCCTGACAGCCCCTGTGTGGTCTAGGGGTTGTTGTATCAATGGTAGGTTGTCAGGTTGTACAAACCCAGAGGACTGATCCTGCCCCCCCCCCCCATTCTAGGAACAAGGAATTGGCTACAGATCCCCATGGCAAGGTGGTAAAAATTCCAGATCACTCACCAGTGCCAATTGCCCCCAAAGTACCCATGTGCCACATGGGGGCAGCAGGTCCTGGTTTTTCCCTCCTCTCTAAAGTCACCATGCCATTTCAGACTTAGTACAGCTTCCCTCTCCCCCTTTTTTTCTCCAAGAGATCACCTTTTTATGATCCCAGTTTGACACCCGTCACCAGCCTCTTCACAGTTTCTTGGAAGCACCTGGGAGGGGCTGCCTTTGCTTGCCAAGGCTTTTTAAAACAAAAAGGTGTAAGTTTGCTTCAAAATTACATGCAGCGGCATGACTGCAAGGATCTGAACCCTCAGCTGAGGCCATGTCCATGTCCTGCCCTTTGGCTGCAGGCGTCAGTGCTGGACAATGCCCAGAAGTAGTTTCCAATGCATCTTTGGCTTTTAGTTATTCTTGACGCCTAACAGAAGGCCAGATATGAAACGTGACACCAAATGCACAGAGGATCATAGGATGTGACAGGGGAGCGCTTACTTGCCACCCCCCCTTGCCGGCATCAATAAATAACAAAGAGTGTTCCAATATAAAGTTATCCATAGTATCCATTTTGTTTTTCTGGGTTTTTGCATGAAGGAGCTTTGCATCTAGTGAACACAGCCCATAGAGCAGTTCAGCATTCCAGTGAAAAAGTAGGCCTTATGGTTTTTTAGTATCTTGCTCAGTTTTCATAGCTACCCAAGATAAAACTCGTATGAAAGGAAGGACATCCTTTGGATCCTGAAATGAAAATAATTTGTTCGACTGTTAAGTAAGTGTAGGAATAAGTTAATAACCATACTTTCTTCCAAACTAAACCACTGCTTAAAAGATCCACTGTGTATTTAGTTCCCACCTTATCTTTTTAACAGCAACTAGAACTTACCTTGTATTAAGATCCTTTACTCAGACATAAAGGAGAGCTAGGCTGCAAACCACTGCCAGGTAGAAGCCATAAGAAAATTTGGATTCCCGGCTCCAACCTTAGTTATTAGGAGGTCAGAATGGCGATTCGGAGTACCTTCCTTGCAACCAATGTAAAAGAACCACACCTGCTGTGGCTCTGAGGTTGGAAGTCCTTGCCTGGAACTAGCCTGGGTGACATTTTAAGAAGGTATGGAGGAAATAAATAGGGGTTTGCTGGAAAATGAATTAATCTGGTAGGGCCTCAGTCTCTCCTTTTCGCAAGCAGATGGCCAAAATCAGCCATCTAAGTGTTTTAAGGTAGAAGTAAACTTCACCACCATGCTTCTCCTGCCCTTGGTAAGGGAATATTCCAAGTTGGGAGGATTATAGGAAGCCACATGGGGTCATGATACCAAACAGGTAGACACCAATAAAAAAAGTGAGGCTAACAAGAGGCTTTGATTTTAGTAGTGTCTGCATGTTTAAGCTAACTTGGAGCAGTTCACATGTTATGAAGTAATAGGCAGATGAAGCTCAAGATGAATAATACATTTTCTCTCTTTCCTTATCATGAAAATCTGAAGTGATACCTGTGAGCTCCACTTCTGATGTTACTGTCGAAACAGAGAAAGCGAAAATACAAAGCACAGTCTTTTGAATCTGTTCAGAGAGAACAAAAGTACTGAAGAGGACAAGTTATTATGAAAAGAAAGGAAAAATCTTTAGCTTAATAATCACAGTCGAGACTTTCATGTAACTATCCACCTGATAGTAGTTAATACAACAAGTAAAGCATTCAGTGCCTAGAGCGGCTGTCTGAGTGATGTCACAGGGATGGCACCTCAGGCTGTAACACATGGAATCAGGCACAAATCCCTAAGCTCTGTATGAACTCCATCACGACGCATTCCAAGGTCAGTTCACCCAAGAGTGCAGAGGTTGATCATAGCACTTTTGATGACTCACACCTGACTGTGTAAGCTGCAGCCATTAAAAAGTATGGCATTTTTTGAAATCTGTGTAATTCAATCTGTAACGTCACAATTACCAGGTGACAAAGATGCAGGATGTATGGGAACACGGTCTTAGAAATTAAACTTTTCAGATGCACTGAACTCAGGTTTCTTTCCCGATGTGGGCAAATGTGATTATTCTGGGTCCTTTGATTGTGGCAATGCATGGGTGAAACATAATGGTGATAATGGAACGGTGACTGAGACATCGGAGTGACATATCCCTTTCTTTCTGGTTCACCTCTCAGCCCCAGTGACTCCAAAGGCTTGCCTGCAACCGCTCTGGTCTGCTGGTGATGAATGCCACATTAAAATGTTTTGGGCACATGTCCTGGTGAGCCTTCCTAGAGGCAAGCCCATGCCTGACACTCGCCCTGCCCGAGCCAGTGCAGATGGTCTCCCTGATGGCATGGACCTGCCCAAGGTTGCTGGTCTCGGGGGGACTTCAGCATGTATACTGAGGCTCCATTGGCAGGGCCAGATGAGGGCAATATAGCCACCATGACAACCACAGATCTGTCCCAGTTCCTATCTGGTGTGATGCCTGCAGAAGAACATAGCATGCATCTGGCTTTTGTTCAGGACCAAGGGATGATGATCTGTCTGTGGTGAAACTAGAACTCATTCTGTTGGCATCAGCAGATCATTAGCTGAGCGGTTTTGTCCTTCAAGTGGCCTGTAATCTCCACAGGAATAGAGAATGAATCCAACTGTCTGCCCAGGGGACTGATGCATATGGAAGGTGTGCAGAGTTCCTGCAGATTTCGTCAGTGACCCTGTTGAAATCTGGTCTCTGTTTGGAAAGACTCAGGTTCTCAGGGTGAGCCCAGTCAAAGAGCTGTGTCGACAGCCCAGCGTTCGGGAGATTGGAGGGCAATGAAACATGATCCATTATGGGAATGCACGAATGACCAAACACAGCAGCAAGAAAGCAACCTCAGTGTATCAAATCCTGATCGATTTACCCACATTTACAAAGAGTTCAGTGTGCTCATTTCAACCCTGTATATATTTAAACACATGAAATCTGTTTGTAGAAGGCATGCCACTTCAGGCCACGAGATCTTTCCTTCCAAGATGTCCTGCAGGGCCCCTAATGTTCTGGAGCCTGGGGCTCCATTGCCGTTTGCTGCCCATCTGGTGCTGTCAGTCTGGCTTACCTTCCATTGCTCAACAATGACTGAGCAGCAGCAACTTTTACAAGGGAGACTATAAGAAGTCAAATATTAAAACAGAGTTTGGGAAAATATTTAACAAGTCCCAGATAATATTAAATAAGCTGCTGCTGTTGTTCTTGTTCTTGTTGTTGTTGTTAATTTAATTCCTATACTGCACAATTGCTGGAAGTCTCTGGGTTTACATCAGTTTATTCAATGAGAATGAGAATTATATTAGTGGGGAGCCTGGTGGGGGGTTGCATGTGCTTTTTAAAATGCACCATCCAACAAAGGAAAAAAGTTTATTTTAATAACCTGTGAGGTTTGAAATCCAAATAATCCAGCATCGAGGAGCTGAAGGTAAAATGGACTGTGCAACAGTGGAACATTTTCAGTACACAAAGTGACCAAAAACAAACTACCATTTGTTTGGTGCAAAAGGATTCAGCCCCTTTGCTGTGTTATAGCTGAATATGCAGCCACTTCCTCCTGAAGTTACATTAAGAAGTTGACAGGAGTCCACCTGTGACAATTCCAGTGCCACATGATCTAGATTAATACCCTTTTCACTGGAGAGTAAATCTAAACAAAAAGCATCACAAAATCCAGGGAGCTATCCAAACAACTCCAGAACACAATTATGCAGAAACCTCACTAAGGTGGTGGTAATAACAACAACAACAACCCCAAACTATGAATATCCCACAGAGCACTATTAAATCCATTACTATAAAATGCAAAGAATATAGCTCAAGTACATCTCTTTCTAGAAATATCCATTGACCAAAACTGAGTGGCCAGCCAAGGAGGGCATTAGCTATAAGATCAATGGTAACTCTGGAGGAGCCAAAGAGCTCTGCAGCTGAGATGGACTTTGTAGAAGAGTAGAAAGGAAAAGGACACTGCTGAAACAATCCTGTATCCAAGCCTCTTTGGAGTTTGCAAAAAGGCATGTGGGAAGCACAGCAACCCTGAGGGATCCGATTCTCTGTCCTCACGGGCCCAAAAGCGAATGTCCTGGCCTTGCTGCAAAATACTGTGTGTGACACAAAGTCAGCAGTGCTCATTGACCCGAGACCGCCATTCCCATAGTGAGGCATGGCAGGGACTGGGGAACTTGCCAGGTTTGAGGGCAAGATGGATGGAGGCACTTGAGCCTGCAAGGGACCTGGGATTGTGGTGGAAGTTCCCGTTCTGCCAGGACAAAGATCCTAATCAGACAGCCCTTGAAGTGGTTTCAAAACAAGAACCTGAATATCTTCAAAGGTCCCAGTCAAACACCAGACCTCAGTCCACTGGAGAATCTATGGAAAGACGTGAAAGTTGCTGCTCACTAGCTGTCCCCATCCAACCTGAGTGTGGAGAAGGAGGCGAACATGTTCCAGGCTGCTCAGACTGATTTGTCCTAGTCTGAGGAGGAGGTGGAGGGGCAGAGGTGGGTAGATGACCTGACGGTTTCAAGGAATCTTCAAGGGAAAACACTCAAACGGGGTGCGAGAAGCACCCTGCTTTAAAAAAAGGAAGAAGGCCTTTCAGAGCTTGCGTTGTGGGGAAGTGATGGAGAAGGAATTATTTGACCCAGTCAGGAGATGATAGGTGAATTGAGCAGACAAATTATGAAGTGGTCCATGTTCTTGCCATCCAACCCTTGAGCAGCAGGAGCCACCCTGAAGATGGAGTCAAAAGCTTTACTGGATGCAAAGGAAGGAGGGAAAGCTTCAGCCCTTTTCATGGGCAGATGTTTCTTCCACATCTTAAAGAAAATGCCACCTTGATTTATGCTGTTCTGTTACATTTGCTTAGAAGAAGTGAGCTTCTCAAGTTTCATCTGAGTTGGGTGTGGAGGAAAAGAGTGAGAGAGAGAGCCCTGTTCGTGACATGGACAGAGTTTTGCCAGAATGAATGTGCCAGCACTGCAAACCTAGGCGTGGAAAGCTGGGGGGAGGCTCACCCAATGGGACTCTCAGATGGAATTGCTGCCAGGGGGCTTCTATCAAGTACTGGCTGTGGGGTCCGTGAAAACTTGCACAGCCAACAAGTGCTCTTGAGCTTTGTCCACTTCATATCTGTGGCATTAGAAAAATACTTTGCACCTTCCCAGTGCTCAGTGTCTTGTGTTTGCAACATAACAAAATCTGAAAAAGACGAGGTGGGGGGGGGGAATGCTTCTGCAAGGCACTGTGCAAATGGCAAGAGCTGCCTCATAACCTTTGTGGTCCTCATTGCAATCTACCTCTGTGCCATTGTAAACATTCTCCCTGTCTCATTACTTTGTTCAAGCGCCATATCCTCCCCTAAGAAACTGTCTTGACTATCTCATCCCGTTCAAGCACTCCTTTGGGCAGACTTTGAACTGCAGCTGAAAAACAAACTGCTATTTGTTCCTTATTAAAAAAAAGCATAGACCAGTAACTCCAGAATTATCACTGCTCACTGTTGTTTGCCTCCCCGGCTTGCTACTCATCCTGAATTTTGAATGGAAACACCAGGTGCATTAGGGTTTCCTTTAAGAGGCAGAAACCGCCACCCTCGTGCTTGTTTTCATGTATCGTTCTCTCTCACTGAGCATCACCTTGTATGCGAAATCCATAGAAATTTCACCAAATGGAGATCATGTAAATATCTAAAAATAATAAAAATTAAAGGATCCATAAAGGAGTTTGCTTGGGGAATGAGTATACACACTCAGAAGAATCCCCCCTTTGCTCAGGATCACTGAAATCATTGTGTCTCATTCACTCATTGCACATCAACTCAGCACAGCAGCCAGAATAAAAGCCTCATCTTAATTCACTGGCTTCTCACTAGGCACTAATTAGCAAAAAAGCAAGAAAAAAAGAGAAAAAAGAAAATGAAGAAACCTTCATTTGAAAAAAATGCTTTTTAGAGTGTAAAGATCTCGGGATCTCACTAGCCCAAGCAGGGGAATTATCCAAACACCAGGTAAGCCTCCGTAGGTGGCCATGCTTTTGCGCTTGAAAGACCTGGCCTAATCCAACTTCACTTAGTTCACTGGATATTCATCTGTAGCATATCCCTTTGTTTCTGCCGTTCCAGGCACATTCCACATGCTTGCAGAGCGGGATGGTTGAAAAGGAATCTTCAATCAGACCTGCAGTTTCTGCTAGTGCAACAGGACCTGGTGGCTCCTGGAATACAGATGGAAGTAAGCGAAGGAGGCAGGATACAACCTGGATCATAATCTCTGGGTGGACTGCAGCACAGAGAAGCATTCTCTTAGCTGTAGGAAGCTACCCACCAGTTTTATTCCACTCTTTTAATCCCAGTCGCCGCCCTGGTGCAGGCCAGCTGAGGCAAGAGCAGAACTTGTCCTGTTGCGCACCCCTCTCTCCTCCTCTCTGCCTCCAGCCTGGAGAGCCCATCATGCTCCCTTTGCTGCCTGTGGGGACTTTCACAAGGAGCCAGTCATGCACAAAAATCTTGTGGTATCTCTGGAGTCCACCAGCTGCACAGGGTTGAACAGCTGTGCCTGGCGGTTCTCTCCATGTGATAAATGCCACCATGGGAGAGTGGCTGGTGGACCTCCGAAGAGCACCTGCTGGGTGGAGGAATCCTCCCTGCATGGGGGCTAGGCTGGGGGGCAGGGGGGAAGCACAATTTGCTACTCTTCCTGCTCTGCTGCCTCATGGGGGCACTGCACACCACTTTGCAGGTGGGCTAGCATTGGCCTCCACCCACACAAAGGACCCCACTCTTGAGCCACATGGTTTGACAAGCTGCTGAGAATTTTCTGCTAGAGACTTCTAGTCCTACTCACAAATGTCAATCTCCAGGCACGGCACTCGAAAAACAGGGAATAACTTCAGCTGGTTGTATGACTACTT